GAGTAGCGTTACGCTATCTTTTACAAGAGGGAGATTTATATACAACTGTCTGTCTCTCTCTTTCTAACTTACAAAAGGGTTTATATTTATATCTATTTTACTAATATAACTTACTTGCAATCAGTTGAATCACTGCCTGACGCAACCATATAAATACTTTTGATAACTAATCTGACGTAAAACTTGTAAATCGTTAAAAGAATTACTGTTCAATTAAAAAGAGTCAACCCTCTGACATCGTATCTAACAGTTGTAATCTGAAAAGATTGCACGTTAACAATAGGATAAGAATTTTATATAGTTTTGATAGACAAATTAATCAGTTAATTAGAGAATGTTAAACTAGTTTTAAATTAATTATTTATTAAATTATTTAGAAATTTATAATTTAATAAATTTGTAAATAAAAACTTATTGAAATTATTAAATTGTATAAATTTATTTTTTTTATTAATAAATCTAATTTTACTTTTACAACTTTAAATTATTAAACTTTTAATATAAAATCCAATTTATTATTATTATTTTTTCTTATAATAATTTACATTAATAATTTTATTAATATAAATAAGATTCTAAAATTATTAATATAAAGTATTAACTTTTAGAAATTAAAACTTTGCTATATATATTAAAGTCTATTTTTCAGTTAGTAAATTTTGTAATTAATTTGTATAACAATATTCTAAATTGATACTGAATTATTTTGTTTAATTGGAATCAATATACAATTTAGCTATAAATAGTATTAAAATTAACTTAAATTTAGCCATCAAATTTTTAGCTGATTCGAACTATATTGATCAGTAATAACTAATATAATATTAATATATATTTGGCTTTCAGATTCAGGTGTAGATATTAAAGTAATTTTTATATTTAAAAAATATTTTAAATAATAGAAATACCAATTATCTAAATTATTTAAAATTTATCTTTATATTAAATTTTATTTTATTTAATAATAAACATTAATAGAATATAATAGATTGGTTTTATAAATAAAGTTTTTACACTTTTAGTGTATTAATAAATCCTTTAAATTAATTTAATAATTTTGGATAATTTATAAATGCATAATGTAGCATAATTTATTTTATTATATATGCATAATTTGGTATTTTGCATAGCATAATTCTGGATATTATTTATTAACATTTTTAACCAATTAGAAGAAATGATCTTTTATCACGTGTGCAGATTATAAATAAACATTTTATATAAACCACTTACCTTTCCTTTTTTTTTACCAAAAAGGTGCGTAATGACTGGGATTATATTAATATGCTAAAGCTTTCGATCACAGAGATATTAAACTCTTTGCTGCTAGAAGGTGATGCTTCTGATGCTGGAGGTGGCGGCGGGTCTTCAGAAAAATTCCATAACCCCGCTTCGATACGAGCAGCAGCTGCAATTCTTGCCTTTTTAGCCACAGCTTTATCAATATTCTCGGTTTGGTCTCACTTCAAACATTATAGAAAACCGGTACGTTCTTTTTAATCAATTAAGTATAAATATAATTTTATCAAAAAATTTTATAAGTTCTCAATCTTTGGAGCTTTAGGTGAAGTGGACGAAAAACGATTACCTATTTTGAACTTTTTCTTTTACTTACTTTACTTCTTAATAATTTAATAGTCCCTACAAAGATATGTAGTGAGAATAATTATAATGTAGGTTATTAGGTTCGTTCTTCAATATGTTTTTCTATGTCATATATTTGTAAATTGATTTATAGTTCTTATGAAGGGTGCCGATTTACTCAATATCATCGTATATAAGTTTGGCATCAACTAATGCAGCACTATACGTTGACGGTATAAGAGATATATATGAGGTAATTAATAATGTTATTTTATAATTTCAAAAACAGAAATTCACTCAACTTTAATCTTAATTGATTTGTTCAGGCATTTGTAATATATTGTTTTTTCAACTTACTTGTGAATTACTTGGATGGGGAAAGATCGTTGTTGATCTTATTACATGGTCGCCCTCCAACGCCTCATCTTTTCCCAATCAATATATTCGTAAAGGATATGGATATTGGAGATCCTTACGCTTTTTTGTTTGTTAAGCGTGGGATTCTTCAATACGTTTATTTGAAACCGATCCTGACAGTCCTTACAATGATATTAAAGTGGGCTGACACTTACGAAGAAGGTCATATCGAATTTAAAAATGGATACATATGGATTAATTTGATATATAATGTTAGCTGCTCGTTATGTTTTTATTGTTTAGTTATTTTCTATGTTTGTACAAAGGATGACTTGATGCCATATCGGTAAGCTAATTAATATTTATGTTATATATTTAACTTACGTGTTTTTTATTATTTGTCATCATCATCATCATCATCATCATCATTATTATTATTATTATGTATGTATTATAGACCTATGCCAAAATTTCTGTGCGTGAAAGCAGTTATTTTCTTTTCGTTTTGGCAAGGATTCACACTTTCAATACTGGTATCTTTAGGAATTATTCATGATAGTAGGTTATAATTTTTTTGGAAGTTTGGAATAAACAGCTATTCATTGTTAAATATCACATTTTTTTTTTTATATATAATTTTTAGCTGACAATGGAACTGCTGAGAGTTTCTCGGTATCCATTCAGGATTTCTTAATAACAATTGAAATGTTGTTTGCATCTTTTGCACATTACTACGCATTTTCTTATAAAGATTATATTGATTCAAGCGTTCGATCAGGTCGTATGCCAATTAAATATGCATTCAAAGATTGTATGGGCTTTAGAGATGTAATTGAAGACACTTTACAAACAATTCGAGGTTCACGATTTACTTATCGAACTTTTGAACCTGCTGAAGGCATGGCTCATATTGGACCTAGCCGCACTGCAAGGATTATGGCCGGTCTAAGATTTACTGGTGGTGGTGCTGGAAAATATTGGCTTCCTGGACCTAATCAACGAACGACACTGTTATCAGAACAGAGCGATGATGATAAAAGGAGTCTAAATTTTCCTGATCCAGATACGGATGATGAGATTGAGGCAATGTATGATCATAGCAGGAAATTAGGAAAATATGGAGACTACAATTTCCCAGTAATATATTCGAATGACTATTCTAATCGACCAGTAAAACCAAAAAGAAAACGTACCATGTCTAAAAGGAAGCGAAAGGGCAAAGGTAGGGCTCAAGATATTTTTGATGCAGAAGATAAATCAGAGGAGGATGTTGAAAGTGGTTTAGGTATAAAATCTGATAGAAAAGAACGACAATTAAGTGATCTTCCACCATTCAGAGAAGGATGTGTTGATCTCGTTAAAGAAGTTCCTGATGGACATGGAAAGCGGTATGAGAGTTATGCTAATAGGATAGGAACATCTCTTCCCGTATCGTCAACAAAACCTTTAATAACGCAACCATATGCATCTGCATCAATGAGAGATCCATTTATACAAATTCCAACTTCTTATAATACTACTCCAATACAAATTAAAGGAATTACTGCACATGAAGAATCTGGATCAGACGAAGATGAAAATGATGACCCTCTTCGTACAAATCGTGCAAATTTTAGCACGTCAATAAAGTCTTTGGAGAAGAATATTTGGAATGATGATATCTGGAAGTAATTATCCAAGCCCTTATTTACAAGGCCTGCTTTTTTGCAAAGTAATTCAATTGGTTCATAAATTTACCATTACGACAGAAACCTTTTTATTTTTATTTTTCCTATTAAATCATTTATATTTATAACAATTTTAAATAGGACAAGGACGATTTTTTTTTTTTTATTTGTAAATCAAACTTTCTAAGGAAAAAAAAACATAAAATGTCTTAAAATTAATTTCGACCACCCCTTTTTTTGTAATATTTTTTTATTTATTATATATTATAATTGTTTATTTTTTATCATTTCAACATAATGTAATATTTAACATTTTTCTTTATTTGAACATAATAAATATAAATTAAAATTTATTTTGTCTCTATTAGAGTCATTTGTCAAGTTTTCGATCGATTACAAAAAAATAAATAAATAAATAAATAAAACTAAAAGTACAAATATAAAAAAGCTTTTCTAAAATTTTTTCTTCTGGTAAATTTTCTTTATATCAAAAAAAAAAAAAAAAAGATATTCACATCTATAAGTATCTACAGAAATAATATACAAAAATCAAGTGAAAAAAAATTTTCAAATTTTTTTTGGAATAACTTTTTTTTAAAAAAAATCATACATTCCAGAAGAAAATTGCAAAACTATAAAACGAAAAAAAATTTGTCGAATATTTTTTTTTTTTTTTTTTTTTTTTATATAAAATTATAATGAATTTGTTTCTTTTTCAAAGAGCACTTTCAACGGAAGGATCATATGGATGTCTAACAAGCAAATCGTATAATTTATCAGGAATCTGCTGAACAAGTCGTACCGTCAAATTTATAACGGGTTTGGCATCTAACTCTGGCATAGTTCTCAAAAGTTTCATCGGACTAAAATAAGATAAGAACAACATAAATGATGTATAAAATATTAATCGAAATAAAACTACAAAAAATTAATAATAAATTATACCTTTTTGCTTCCAATAATTGATCCCTCATCAAAATAAGCTGTGCAATAACGCATAAAATATTCAAATGAATTCCATAAGCAAGCAAGAAATCCCATAATTTTAATACTTGCTCGAGAGGTGGAGTACAGGCGCAAAGTGTAAGCACAGCTAATACATATCAAAAAAAAAAGATGATTAGTTCATCTAAAATACGTGTGTGAATTGAGAGAGATCGTCACTAACATGATAATGCATATATTTCCGCAGTAAGGTTCTTGGATTTCAAATGATTAAATAATTTAGGATCGAGAATTTGGAGACATTGATCCAAAAGCTATAATATATACATATATATATAAAAAAAAAAAAAATTGGTTAACCTTCTATTTCAATAGTTAAAAGAGAATAAAGAAAATCTTACCTTTAATCCACAATGAACTCCTTGTAAAGTAGGAGTTACATATAAAGGGCAGCAAGTCTGAATAAATGTTGCAAAAGAGAAGAACGCATCGATCTCTGACATGGTAAATAAGAATGGCGCAGCAAGAACATTCATTCCTTGAACGTAGGTGATCTGTTGATTGCCATACGTTGAAAAGCACGCATTCTTCCATACAAGAGCATTTAAAACGCGAATCAACATGTCTTCATTAACTCTCTTTAAAAATTTCTCATCAGTGGCTAATGTCCTGAAAGTATCATTACGGATTTTATCATACACACAAGATTCCTTCTTTTTTATAAGGCCAACATATTCATTAGCAGATACGTGATAGACTCCAAGAAAGTGTTTCCATATCCTTGAACGAAGAGATGTGGGTCTTATTAGATTTTGAACCGAAGGATCCAATTTTGGTAGGTTCTACCCGAGAAAATTTACAAACATCATCAGTAAAATAATTGGTGTATTTAATGATGTTCCTTTACGCGCATATATAGTACATTGTCAGGCGCATTTATCTTTATTTTACATAATATAAAAAAAAAAAAAAATAATACCTCATCGGGTAATCCATCATCAAGAATCATTCGTCTCAATTTAGCCAATGATGCCTTAACTTCTCTCTCAGTTCTATGTGTAGTACTCAATATTTCCTCAAAAGTATTTGTCTGTTTAATATTTTGTGAAGAAAAAGTTTTTCTTAACGGGGCAGAGTTTAAGGCGGGAGTAATTATATTATTTTTTGTCCAATTAATAGAACGTTGACGAAAGTTACTGTAATTTGAAGGTGGTGTTTTTGATGATGGTTTTATCATATATTTGTTTTCAGATGCTGTCACAAGAGGTTTACTGGGGGTATCTTTTAATAAAATGTTTTCTTCGGATTTAAAATTCAGAGTTGTAAATTTTGAAGTCGAACGGTTAAACATTTTTTGTTGTTGAACGGGAAGTTGCGTCGACGATAAGTTTGCAGTTTTTTCATGTAAAGCACCACCGTATGGTGATAAGCAATGTGTTGAGGAAAATAGAGCTGGAGCCATATTATGAATATATAATTTTTTTTTTTTTAATTGAATTCTAATAAAAAAAAAAGATTTAAGACTTTTTTTTACTAATTTTTTTAATTTTAATTTAGTTTTTTTTTTTTTTTTCTTTTATCTATCGGTTAAGGTTATCTAGTAATATGGATTTTTTTATTTATAAAGGGAAAGTGGTTCGTTCTACTTTGTCTTTATTCATAATAATAGGAAAAAAAAAAAGAATTTATTTTTAATTTTTTTTTTGAAATAAATGGAAATGGATGTCAATTATGTAGGATGTGGAACTGCATGAGTTTCTTAATTTCTATATATAGGTTGATGCGAGAAAAATTAAAAATATAACTTTCGAAAGGATTAAAAAGAAATTTTTTTGTTGGTTTATAGGATTCAAATTTTCGTGATGTACAAGAACAGGGGTAAAAAATAATTTGAAAGAGAGAGTGAGAGGCAAAAAATAAAGAAGATTTTCGGTAATTTTAAATCGGATAAAATGAAACAAATATTTAGAAGAATCTTGCTTATCAATGAGGAACGTGCGACAGACATTCCTCTTTGATTTTCTAAAACCTCACACCCCCTATTTGTAAATGATTAATATGTGTTGTGGTGGTATAATAGATAAAGATATATATTATTAAAAGGCGGGAAACTTTTTTTTTTCATCGCCCATTGTCCTCATTTAGTTCATTTAATTTCAATTTATTACAAGTTTTCTAACTCGTAAAATACTGGCGAAATAAAAAAAGATCAAATGATCAAAAAATAAAAATATTTTTGTTGTAATAAATTGTTAAAAAATGATATCGCACCATAATTTTTAATTTTGCTATAACTTGATAAGATTTACCTTAGTATCGGTTACCCTTCCAATTCTATGGTTTCAAAAACCGTCACCACATGAATATAATGCCGTAATTTCTTCTTCATTCCGGGAATTGCAAAAAATTAACCATTTAAAGTAAATCAATCTTACTCCTGGTTTTTTTTTTTTCATTTTAAACAAATGTGATAGGTTAAAAGTTCTATACAATAAATCTATAATTAGAACGATTCGGACAAATTTTCGTTATTTATTTATTTGTGTTTGTATTTTAATAATTTTAATAAAAATTTGTAAATAATCAAATAGTTTAAAATAATAATATATATTTTTATGGGTCTTTTATTATATTATTTTAACTACAAAATAATTGAAATTTGAAAAAAAAAAGACATTATATTATAAATATTTATCACCAACACAGTATCTATTAATCTAAGATTTTTACCTCTATAATTGTGAGAAAAAAACCAAACCCATTCGCCTCACTGTTAAAAAATCTGATATAATTATAATAACATTGAAATTATTTAATATAAATAAGTCTATCTTCGAATTTTAAAACAAGTTTAAAACAAGAACTGAAACCAGTCAGCTGTCTTTGAAATACTACGTTTGGAAAAGATCGGATTTCCTAATTGAATAAATGCAGAGATTAATTAAGCAAAGTTTGAAGAGAAACCAACGAATCCGAAAAAAAATTTTGTTTTACATTATTTTTTATACCTTGGCCGACCAGGACGACGTCCAGCGTTCGGTGGAACTCGGTTAGACATGTGATTTCCGAGTTGTATAATATCTTTAGTGATAATTTCACTATTGTGTATCGAAGCAATAGGTTTAAACTGATTATTACTGTTTACTTTGTGCTGACTATGCTGACTAACTGTCGTAGCGTCTTCACTGCGGATAAAACGTGATTGCATCATCGTAAAATAGGTAATTTTATTGGCCGAGCTTTGTTTAGATTAAATCGTCTTTGTACGACAGAAAAGGAAAAGAGAAAAATACTTCTAACTCACGCTTCAGCATCCTGTTCGGTATAACCTGCAAAATATCTTTTCGTATTATGACTAACATGGTACATGCGCGTAGTCGGATCATAATATGGACCACGCTGTTTTCTTGCCCATATTAACAAACTATTCCTATAATAACGATAACGTTAGCCCCGCAAAGGCCGAGTTTTACAAGAACGAGAAAAAAAATTTTTGAATTTTTCGATTATTAAGATAATTAGAATCATCTTATTTTGTAAGGTTTACATAATAGAAATTTAACCTTACCAGTCTTATTGTTATTATTTAACCAAAAAGGAGTACAATCCAAAAAAGTCGAGAAAATAGAAGTCAGGAGACAATAATTATTAAATATTTTTTTTTTAAAAAAAAAAAAAAATGAATACCAGTTGTCGCTTGAATTGCTGCCTTCCTTTTAAGATCTTTCTTGGTTTCTGGTATTTTTATATATATATATATATATTAAGAATGTACCGGTTAGGAAAGAGATGAGCCACTTACCCTAACAAATAACACAGCCAAAAAAAAAAAAAAAAAAAAAAAAAAATTACCTTGAGCAATAATTTTTGCTAAATTTAAACTCGTGTTTGTAGTTGAGCTGTTTGACTTTGACGTATTGTTAGTTTGCTTTGCTGATAATGTTTCCACATTTGTTATTGTATTGGTTATCATAATGGCGCGCTTTTTTTTTTTTGTGTGAAAAAAAAAAATGGATAATTATAAAGTTTTTTTTTTTTTTTTTTTTTTTCGTAGCTCTAGTTTCCTGGTTTGTTTACTTATGGAGTGAGAAGACAATCCGATATCGGAGATGATTACATCCATGCAGTATATTTTCTCCAAATAAAGTCTAATAGGTTACACCACGACGATCGACGGTGAAATTGAATCAACATAATTTCCATTAAATTCTACATATCGATTATTTTTTTTGTTAGGATTCCCCGAACATTAGAACTTGCATTAACTGCTCTTAGTAACGTGACGAATTCTCGTATCTTTTGCTTTCGCAAGTAAGCCAATTTTTTAAAGTAGAAATGTCTTCTACACAAGATACTAATTTAGGCCTTTCAGAATCTCAAGTGGGATTGTGTACTGAAGAAACCACTGAAAAAACTAACGACATCACTACTACGAAAGTTGATCAAGAGGTGGCAAACAATTCAAGTGAAGAGAAACCAAAGGATAAAGACGTTGAAACGAAATTAACTGAAGAAGAAAAAGAACAGCATGAAGAAATCGCTGATGAGCAACAAAAGAACGTTGAAAGTGATCCAGCCTTAAAGGTATTGGATCAAGAGGAATTGAACAAAGTAGATTCAACCAACTTAAATGTGAATGCGATAGAAACCGAGAAAGTTTCAGAAGAAAATGGAGATCAGGCTACATTATCAGGATGGAGTGCAGTTTGGGATGATAACGCGCAAGCATACTATTATTGGAACACCATCACCAATGAAACCACTTGGGAAACTCCAAGTAATATCAGTAATAATAACGATTTAACAGCCCAACCTAGTAATTCTGAATATGCTGAATATTCCGAACAAGATTATTATCAATATTACTCTCAATATGGTTATTATCCTGAAGCGTATTATTATGGTTATGATGGTTCTACCTTAACCGCTTCTTCAGGTATGGCAAACACTGCCGTGGCATCTACGGAACCGCCTATAAATCCTTTGGATACCCTTCTCGATAAGATTGACAAAGAAGTTAAATCTAAACTTGATAGAAAGCCTTCAAAATCGAAATCATCACCTACTTCTGAATCTGCTTATAATTCTAATGATCAAGAACAACCTCCTTCTTCTACAAATTTAGATAAATATGATCAATATCAATCGACGACAAATGATTCCGATTATCAGTCATTTTTAGCGGAACATGGAAGTGATGGCGCGGACTATAAATTTACCGCAAGATTCAATGCAAGAACCGGAAAGTTTCAACGTGATCCAACTTTAAATCCTGAAAAATTTTCTGCTGATGCAAAAGCAATTAGACAAATGTCTTATTTCTTTGATTATGATCAATTTGCTGAATCTAGAGGTTCTGCTGCTAATAAAAGACTTTCATCAGATGCTTCATTAGACGATTCTATAAGAAGCCACAAGAAATTGAATAAAAAAGATATTGAGATGTTTAAACAAAAAAAGAAAGAGAAAAAAGAGATGAAGAAAAAATCTTGGTTACTTAGTGACGATTAATTTGTAATAGTTTAGAAGATTAGGTTTCCTTTTTTTAGTTTAATTTTCGTTTTCATTTGATCGCTACTTTTAGAATTGTTTATTTTTAAATAAATTTTTTGGTTTTTTTTTTTTTTTTTTTTTAAAAAAAAAAACTTTATAATTAAAAATAAATAAATTGTCGAAAAATTGTGTATTATTATTGTTTAAATTGATTTTATTATTTGTATGTGAATATAAGATATTAAAGAAAAAGATTATCTATCTTTTTTTTATAAATGACCGCTCCACTCTTTTTTTTTTTTGAAAATGTCTTTATGTATATAATAATTGTATTGTTTGTTGCCAAGTTCTATTAATGTGTCTTTTTTTTTTTTTCCTAACACTTGATCAAAAACAGCTTTATATATCAAATAGTTTTTTAATGATTAATATAATTTTTTTTTTTTTTTTTTTTTTTTAAAAAATAAAAAAAAAACATTACAAAAAAAAAAAAATAAAAGGATAATTATAAAAGTATATGCTAACTTATTCTAAAGTTGGATGTTAGAAATAATTTTTTTTTTTTTTATCAAAACAATAATGCATCAAGACCACCTTCAGCTGCCTGTTCTTTAACAAACATTTCAAAATAGGAGTATATAATAGTGACGGCTAACAGTATACCAGTACCGGATCCAAGCGCACCTTTAAATGAAAAAAATTTTATTATTATTTTTTTTTAACAATACAAAAAAAAAAAAAAAACCGGTGTACATAATATTTACCAAGTAAATCAGCAAGAACAGACAAAGCACCAATACAAGCACCACCAAAAGCTGCGGCTGTAGGAATAACTCGTTTCAATTCTTTGTACATTGACGCTTCACGATGTCCGGCCATAACCATATTCTGATCTTTAAGTTGTTTTGCAACATCACGTGGTGAAGATCCTGAAACTTCGATCCAAGTCTTTGAGAAGAGAGCACATGCGGTTAACATGAATAAAATATATAACGATGTGTGAATAGGATCTAAAAGAGCATCCGTGATACTATGTGGTGGTGACATAAAGTACGCGAGACCTCCGGACGCGTAATTTTGATTTGAACCTTCATGAGGAGTCCAAACACCGAGGAATCTGACAAGTAAATTATCCGGGAATCGATTATATAACATTTGAGAGATAAGGAAGACGTTGGAGGTGAGAGCGGATTGAAGCATGATAGGCATATTTGAAGTGTAAAAGAGTTTAATTGGATAAGTTCCAAATTGACCACGGTAACGACTTGATTTGACAGGAAGTTCAACACGGAAACCTTGAAGATAAATCACAATGGCGAAAACAACCACGGTAGCCAATAAATTCATGACATTTGGTAAATTTGTTCGATAAAATGCCTCTTTCAAAGCACGTGTTTTATCGTTACGGGTAAAGAGTAAATGGAACAATGCAATGATTGCACCTTCGAATTCAGGACCACGACCAGTATTAACAGTTGTAGGACTGAAAGCTTTCCAAACGATGGATTCACAAATATTTGTAGCGATAAAAAGTGAAATGCCAGAACCAAGACCATATCCCTTTTGCAAAAGTTCATCCAAAAGCATAGAGATAAGACCAGCAACGACAAGTTGGATAATAAGCAATAAGCAAACACCGGCTCCAATTTCGGAGGGATTACCGTACAACCCTGTCATTACGGACACTGTGGCCTGACCAAAGGCGAAGACCATGGCAAAAAGTTTTTGAGCACCACTGAATAATGCTCTATCTTCTTTCAAAGTAAAGTCAACCTCAATGAGGTTAGCCCCGGCCAAAAGTTGCATGATCATGCCCGAAGTTACAATGGGAGTAATACCGAGTTCCATCAATGTACCTCTGTTTGATGCGAGAATTACACGCAGCCAGTACAAAGGATCTGAGGAATCAGAGGACATTATACCATAAAGTGGAATTTGCGAACACACTAAAAAGATGATAAGTGTGACACCTGTCCATAATATTTTGTGACGAAAGGGAACCTATAAATATAATGAATGTGGTCAACGTTTTTCGCGCTTAAAAGTTCAATCCTTTCCAAATAAATTACAACCCAATTGATTGAATGGCTTCAACTATCAATACCTTTCGTTCTGGTGCTGTGACCTCCGGAAGTATGGCCATGAATGGCCTGATGAGATGTAAAAATCGGACTATTTTAAAGAAGTTGTACCTTTGTGAGTATTCATTTAACTACTAGTCGAAATAACAATAATAACGAACTCATGAAATCTATACATACAACCCATTGGAGAAAGTTAAACCAAAAAAGAGCCCGAGGATTAAGGTTGCGTTGATATTTTCTTTTCTTTTTTTTTTAGAAAAAAAGATTTAATCTTAATATTTATAAGAAAATGTATGAGAATATCTAAATTGAGGACCAATCGAACTTGTCCACGATTTGTTTATGCATGTTTCCTATATATAGGATAGTTATAAATTGATGTAATACATAATACTCATCAATTGATGATTTGTTCACAAGAATTAAGATAAGCCACCCGATTTCATTTTTTTTTTTTTTTTTCACGAAAACGCAAAAGACACTTTTCCAAGATGCCAAAAACACATTCTGCTCAGATTCTTGCCAGTACTTCAAGTAGAGGGTACTCTGGAGGCTCAGGCAGTAATAGTGGAAACTTTTTTACCCGATTCCTTCGGGAGGAAATTTTTGCTCAAGACAAACGACAGGGAAATATTGATATTTTGGTTTCTATTGGAGTATTTGGAGCAGCCATTGCTTTTATACAAAATTATGCAGAGGAATTGTGCACCATCTAACCTTAGATCTTGGAAATTATGCTTATAATTGTATGCTTTGAAGAATTTTTATTTGATTTTTTTTTTGTTCTGAATTTTATTTAAAATTACCATCCATCTATACAGAAAAGGGTTGAATCAAAGATGTCTTTTATATTCCATGAACAAGATAAAGCAAAATTCATCATAATTTTATTACATACAATCTGGAAATTCTGTAAATGTAAAATCTGATAATTACGGGGCAACACTTAATTAAATTAGATAATAATTTAAAAATATTGCGCGTAATAAAATTATATTTTTTTTTTTTTTTGAATAAATTTTCACGGTGCTTGTGGTACTAATAAAATAAATGTAATTCTTACATCTAAAACTTAATACTTTAACGTATGGAATAATAGTTAAATACTATATTGGGGCATGAATGTATAATTCCCGTCGATTTTTCATCTCAAAAAATGTAAAATAAGGTTTCTTATGAATTAACTCCTCTAATTGCATTTTCGAGATGTTTTTTTTACCAAAATCGGTTAACGTTTAAAATCGGTCATTAAATCATGTAAGCACGGATAATCATCCCGTATATGTGACACATCAATTTCATAAATCATTTTAAATCATTAATGACGTGATGGTACAGTATAACAATTTCTTCTTTCCAGACAAGTACCATAGGCTGTTTGCAATATTAAATTTGCGATACATATTTATCATCGATTGGATTGACTTTTTTGTTTGAAAATATGAAAATTTATCTTGATTGTTTTATAATACAAGCATCTTAGTTTATTCAACGTTATAATTATTTATAATCAAACGATTAGTGAAGTAGGAAATACTAAAAGGCTGACATTGTTCTATAAATTTAGAATTTTAGTATTACTAATTGTATATTAAAACAAAGAAAATTTCAACTTTACACGGGGAATATACATTAACTTCCTTATATTTCATATCGTGTTCATACACCCTTGTATTAATAGAAATTAATGCCAGTGTTTGTTTGTTTCAATTATGGTGGAAGAGTTCCTCTACATCTACATCCCGGATTCGACGAAATATCTATCCATTAACAACAATTCTTTCTGTTATTATAATCGGTTGCTCAAGATCTTTGCTCGAGAATACATATATAATTATTGACTATATAAAGATTGCTTTTTGATAGCTATAGTAAGGAACTGTTGTTATCTTCAACATTATCCAAAGTCCTGCATACACTGTTTTAAACACTGTTTTAATGCTAGTTAATCCTGATGATCCAATTTCCAAATATATTATGTATGTATTTGAACAATTGATCACACCAAATTTCCCTTTTTTAATTGTTACCTTGTAAAGAAACATCGGACGATAAAAAACCAATCAGCAAAAACCGACTTACGAAAAAAACGTGAAAATAAAAATTTTTGATTAAAATCCTGCTTTGAAATTCGTCAATTTTGACATTATTTCCTTATTCGTTATCAATGACTTTTGATATATTTATATCTTTATTGACAATAACATAACATTTTTCTTTGTGTTTATGAACCTTCAACCGTAATCAATTAGACAATTATATTGAAATTTTTATTTTATTGAGGCATGAATATTAATGAATTGAAGATCGATATTTTCTTTCTACTCCGAAACGAATTTGTGATTTCCTTTTTTTTCAAATAATAACCAATCATTACGTGAATGAATGCTCAATTTGTTCATAATAACAATTTCGAATATCAATTGAATTTCCTTATCAGAGAACAAAACCACGGTTATTTAAGTAAGTTGTTTTCTTTTTTTTTTAAAAAAATAAAATTAAGCCTTTTACTACATATCATTAAAAAAAAAAAAAAGGAATAAACGCAACAAATACGTTACCAAACAATTCAATTTAATAAATCCAAATCATAATCATTATCAAAAAGCAAATCATGGCAAAATTTTCTTACACCTTCATCTTAATTTCTATGATGATTTTCGTCTTACAACCAACAATTGTTGACGCTGGTCATATGCCTCAACCAAGACATGTTGGTCCCATTATTCAAATGATTCGTCTCCGTCCCACACCCTGTCAAGTCACATGTAATTTCACTTGGTTTTCTTGTCTCGCCTCCGCTTTAATGATTACTGGTAAGTAATCTTAACTTGAATACTTTTATCGAATTTCGTTCATTAAGTTAAAATCGGTTTACTTCTTTAGAAACCGCTGAAGACCCCTTTACTTTCGGTTGTATGGTTGCTAAAAGTATTTGTATGGCAAGATGTTCTCCTCTCTAGAGAGTGACCCTTTCCACCATTTGATAATTTTTTTCTCGATCATATCAATATAATTTTGATAAATTTAATTAATGTTTAGCTTTCTTCTTTGACCATAAAATAATTTCATCCTTCTTGAATGATTACACAGGATTCTTTAATCATTGTATTTTTAAAATATTCATTATATCATACTTGGAAATTTTTTTTTTTAGAATTATATCATACAAATTAATTTATGAATAAGTTTGGAATTTTTTTTTCATTTTAAGCACAAAATATAAATAACATTCTTTGAATTAATGCGTCATACAATAATAATAAAAAAAACCAAAAAAAAATTTATTTTATACACATACGTTGACTTTGCCTGCTGAAAAAAAAAATGGCTATTTTTTTTTTGAGAATAACTTTATTAATAAACACATTTCTTAATAAAATTTATTATTCATTATCTTATTTAATAATATCCAGTTTGACATTATTTAACTTTTCAGATAATATATCTTTTTTGGCCTTAACTGCTATTTTTTTGTTTGTTAGTTTAACGATATTTGTAGGAATCATTACTATATAGTTAAATCTTAAACAGAAAATTTCTGATAAACTCTCTATATATGTTACCAAAATTGTCAATGATCAAAATAATACATCAGAAATTAAAATACCTTCAGAAATCTTACCATAGAAATTAATACTTAAATTACTAATAAACTTTCTGAATATAATTTTACTTTTACTGTAAAGCTTAGCAATCAATAATGAATTTAATAATATATTTAATGAACTTAATAGTAAATTTACTACAGAAATCAAAAAAATTAATTTATGTGATGCTGATTATGCCTCTAAAGCAGTGATGTGCATTTTATGCTTTCAATGTATAAAATTTGATTGGAAGCTTTCAATCCAAATGAATTTATTAGAGTATTATGCTTCCAACCCTTCCAAAAGTGCTTTCAAAAGTGCTTCCAATCTTCCAAATGCACATTACTGCTCTAAATTGCAGAAAATTTTTTCAATGGTAATAATATGACAACAGGAATTAATAGTTTCAAAGAAACCTGCTGTAATGAATTTTGCAGAATTTCATTTGAAATCAATCTATAGAAGCTCTCCGAAATGAAATAATCCAATATTATGCATTAAGTATTCTATTAGCATATATGATAATTTATTCTAAGTTATCATTTCCTTTTGTGCTAAAATTACACTAAAGCAAAAGTTGAATCATCAGTAAATAGGCAGGTATTCAAAACTTCAGATCAAATTTGATCAGATGAGTACATCATCTGGTTCATTCAATCTATCTCTTAAAGAAATAGAAACCATTTTAAGCAAGTTTTTAACTCAAAAAAAGAAGAGGGAAATTATAGATTATGCATTTAAAACTGTAAAATATGAAAATTTTCAACTTACTGGGGAAAAGATTGAAAAGAATACTGTAGAAAACTTTTATCATGGTAAAGATAATCCAAAATTTAACACAGTAATATTAATTATTAAATAGATAGTAGTTGATAGTTTAAATAATAATGTGACAGGCAAGTTCTTTTATATCTTTCATCTCTTAAAACATCCTGCTACTGTCTTATTTACTTTTATTTTTACTTAGCTGACCAGCCTTTTTCACATAATATTTTACAAAAATATAATAAAGATTTTACTTTAAAATATTTAATCATGTGTGTACTATTTATTCATAAAATTATATAATAAAATTATTATATTTGCTTTGTATTTTACCATGCAAACTGCAAAAATAATATATATAACTTTTTTGAAAATTACTTCTGCTATGCAAATCTATATTTGATTTCATTAATTTTTAGCTTTACAAATTTCACTTGAAAGTCACAGGATGCATTTATTTACACGCATAAGAGTATGAGATCAAGATAAATGTGTATGGCCATTTCATATTTTTGCTAAATGAGGCTTTTACGGTGCATATTCCTAATCTAAAAATTCAATTTGACCATATAAGTATATAACCCTCTAATTATATCAATCTTGATAAGATTGATTTAAGAAACTTATACTTTTTCCTATCTCTCATCTCTATTGTCATTATGCTTCAGTCATATGAATTTTCCTTGACTTTAGACATCATATTAACGTATATTAATATAGATATCAATAAAATTATAAATTGTTGTGATTAATAAAGTTTTGAATTTTTTTTTCATAATGAGTAAATTTACTTTTGAAAAGCTTGATACTTTGATATTATACTCTTATTTAAGACTGATATGGATATTAGACATAATATTTTTTTTTTAGCTATTTTGTTGCAAAAATAAATAAAGCTTACTATTATTAATATTCTTCACCTTAAGTTTAAAAATGTATTAGAAAAATGACAAAGAGGATGATGGTAAAAAGGAAGACGCAATAGCAACGTTCTTATCTACTATATTCTTATCTACTATGTTCTCACCTTTCATAGTTTTACCTTCTACATCTTTACCTTCTATGTTCTCTCCCTTAACTACTATGCAGATACATTTAGTTTTCTTAATGTATAATAAAATTGCTTGTCCATGTGATCTTTTTTTTTGAAACTTTTTTAAAAGTTTTTTTTTTGTAAAATTACAATTTATTTTTCTTTTTTAAATGATCATAATATGACATAATCCTTTGGCTAGTAGTATTTGTGTTGTATTTATTATCAAAGGATTTTTTTATGAAGTTGTGTAAAAAAATTTTCTTTTTTGTATAATCGTGACTCCTTTTTTTTTCTTAAATGATCATTAGTATATTAATACCTATTATACCTATTAAATCATTATATTATTACAAATTAAAAAAATGATCAATTTTATTTGAGATCTCATAACGATATTACATCATTACATTCAATATCCTAAAATTATCAATCTTTTTTAAAGCAAAGCGAAAGCTTTATCTCTAGTAATCCTAATGCATCTTTCCTATTTAAGT